GTTTATTAGCAAAACGAGTAAGAAAGCTTGGAGGCACGGCATACACCTTGATGTCAAATAAAATAAATAAATGACACAGAGTTTAAATAAAGTAAAAATCAGCAAACAATGTGGAACCAATTAAATAAGAAACGGATGTTTAAAAAAACGTCCAAAATCACCTTAGATAAACGGCAAAAGTCAACAGGCTTTTCAAAATCCAAAATACTGCCAAACAGGCGCTTTTGTATTTCGTTTCGAAACTAAATCATCCGCCATCGTCTTGTCTGTCTCACCTCACCCCACTCTTCTTGTCTGTCAGCTCGACTCACTCTCCTCACTGGAGAAATTAAATCTGATCTGTGTGATGCGACTGTCGTTCGGCACCTGAATTGAGCATTCGCGTTCAGTTTTTAATTGTAGTGTCTGTTCTTTTACTGAACTAAATTATTTTTGTTACTATAAAAAATCAAAATGACGGTGGGGGTCGGTGCCACGGTGGGGAAGTGACGTAACCGGTGTTGCGGCTTAACACCGGTATCACCATCAGCACCGTCTATCGCGGCAAGCATAATGGAAAGTAATGCATTGTTACTTTTGCGTTACTTTTTGTCACCTGGGCTGTGCTTGCTTATTTGTTTCTTAATAACAAACACCCAAAAGTTTTATTTTTGGTATCTGTAAAGGCCCTTTCACACCAAAAGTGAAATGAATAAGCCTCAGGCTGAAGGAAATGCCTCTGCACCTCACTTCCAATTTCTCTCAACACGGGGACAGGACAGCTGTCAGTCAATAAATGGGAGCTACTAAAAGTAATTATATTAATTTACTAATTTACTAAAAAATAATTATACAGATATTTTGTTGTAAATTTAAAAGTAATGTGTTACTTTACTAGTTACTTGAAAAAACTAATCTGATTACTTGTTATGCAATACCCCAACACTGGTTTTAGTTCTTGAAGTTCTTGATCAGAGTTTAGCTGGTTACTAAGCTAAACTATTTAATTATATGAACTGTTTTTTTTTATCTAATGTTTTCTGCTTTTTTTGCAAGCAAAATGAAATAAATAAAAAATAAAATAATAAATATATAATCATAGTAACCGTTTTTTGCAAACAGATTTAAATAAATACAAACTTTTTATTATATTACTGCCGTTTTTTGCAAGCAAAATAAAATAAAACAAAATATCATTATATTAACTGTTTTTTGCTAGCAAATTTAAATAAATACATATTTAATTATATTAGTACTGTTTTTGTTTTTAGCAAGCAAACAACAAAATAAAATAAAATAATTTATATTTTTTATATTAACTCGTTGTTTAAGCAAAATGAAATAAATACATATTTCATTATATTACAATAGTTTTTTGCATTGTTTTGTTTTGCAAAATAAAAAAAAGTAATAAAATATTTCATTATATTAACTGTGTTTTGCAAGAAATATTAAATAAAAAATTAAATAAAAAAACTAAATAAAATTATAAATATTTCATTATATTAATAATATATATTTTATTATATTACTAGTTTTTTTTGTTTGTTTTTTTGCAAGCAAAATAAAATAAATAATAAAATAAAATAAATAATATAATTATATTATTACTGTGTTTTCATAGGGCTCTTAAAAGCATGAAATAGCATGATTAGTATTCTCTAGTAGTCACCAGTGAAGGGTTTGGGATGGTCCATGTGCTTGTGTTGAGTTCAGCCAATCAGCACTATCACACAACATACATAAGTACATGTGTCCTTCCAATACTCATATTAGTATTTACAAGAGCTGAAGATGTGAGGTAACAGAAGAAAGTATAAAAGTGTATTTACCGTGTTGGCCATCTGAAGTCCGGGGTCCAACGAGAGTCCCACGATATCATCATTGTAACTGGATTCCAAACTAATGATGTCATCAATGACATCGTCCATCTGAGAAAAATCAAAAGCAATATCAGCGGTCAGCTTCAGTATAACGCACTATGAAGTCAATTAACGTGTCTAGTGTGCTGCAAGAATGGAAGAGGTCAAATCAATCCATTTCCTATATTGAAAATCACTAGTTAATCTGACCTACATCCCAAAGAGCTGTGTATTTCCTCTCAGCTGCACTCAACGTGCCAATGTCAGACTCGGTCTAATCTATTAACACTTGCTAAAGCACAGCGCTCTCTCTCTATCACAGCGTGAACAGTGACGCAATCCAGCCAGCTGCTTCAACTGCTATTTGTACATCATTTTCTGATGTTGCTGGATTTGTGGGAAATGTGCTTGTCGTGCTCTTGGTGAACCTGTCAGGATCCTGTCGCCTCTGTCTAGTCTTGTTTATGGTGTCCATGTTTTGTGTTGAGCACATGCTTTCTGTTTTGATTATTTGCCATGTGCTCAGTATTATGTCTTGGCTCATTTTTAGCCTCCTCATTTCCTCCCCTTTCTATTCTCCTTGTGTGTTTCTGTCCTGGTTTGTTTTGTGTCATAGCTTGTCTTCTCATTCCTGTCTTGGTCCCTTTGTCTTGCTAGTCTAGTGGGTTTAAACCCTGCCATAAGGCCTTTTGCTTTGACTGTGATCTGGGTTCCTGTATGTTTATGCCCAGTTTTGTGGTATATTTACACTGCAAAAAATGATATGATCAGTAAGTCATGGCAAGTTATATTTTTACATTACTTCAACTCATCAAAATAAGTTGAGCAATTTTAACTTTTTTATACGAGTTTTTAAGTTGGTTTAATGTAATTTAAGTTGAATATACTTAAATTTAGGGCAGCAACTGAACTTAAGTTTTTAAGTTGAAATCGGTGGAATAATGGAAAAATCTACTTGTTCAGCACTCTGTCCCAAACCCTGACAGAACCTCAGAAAGAACATGTCTGGGTCATATTTCACCTCTTTTTTTTCTCAATTCAAGGATTCATTACTT